AGTGCAGTGGGTTTCCTCTCCAATAGTGCCCCCAGAAAATCTCGCATTGAGGTGGTGCAGGAGCACAAAAATCATCAGTTTGAAAAGTAGAGAAGTGATAGGATAGCTTTTTTCTGAGATATAACACTTGATATTTAGTCAAATTGTATTTAGAAGTGATTTTGGCCACAAACTGAATTACAGATTTCTTCTTTTCAAATTTATTAAGAAGGAAATCTCCAATGTTTATGTTTTTAACTCAAACTCTTCTTCACCTCCTTCGTCTGATTCTTCATCATCGTCGTCATCACTTAATTTAAATGAGTCATTATCACTGTGGTCAGAATATGACATTGGCTTCAAACGGCAACATATTATATATTTTTTTTGGGTTTTTTAGTTTCTGTGAATCCTAATAAATTCGTTGCTTTTTCAACTCCTTTGCTTTCTGCTTCATCAAGTTGACTTCTCATTTTCTTCTTCCTTTCTTAGATGTTTTAAAAACCCGCTTTTGGATGCGGCCATACAGTTGCTGGAGAGATTGTGGTGTTACTGGTCTGAACTCCTACTGAAAATTGGAATAGGCGCAAAATCGTCGTCCCCAAATGCAAGCTTATTGAATGGACAAATTCCTAGCTTTGAAAAGCCGCTTTAATGTTTTTGGGTGTAAATGATTCCAAAAAGACAGATTTTGAAAGCTCAGCTATTTTGTATATAGATAAAGCCTTCCCAATCTTTCGAATGTGCCAATCATTAAATGCTATTTTCAATTTACCTTTAAATGGACCAAAAACGCTGATATCCAGCAGCTGTAGCTTGTGTGATGTGTGCTGTGGTAAAGAAAGACACATAATTCCATTATCACGGCAATAATTGACAACTTCAATAAAAATATGTGACTTGTGATTTTCACATTTGGGTTATCTTTAGTGCTTCGGCGTTGAACGTGTTGAAAAACTAGGATGTACAATTCAGCTGTCATCCAACCGCTCCTGTTTACCATGCCAAGGCTACCCCGGGGAATCCCATTTAAAAAAATGGTTCATTGAAATGGACACGAGGAAAAACATAAACAGGAGGAAGAGCACATCGGCAGCCGTCACTATTCCACAGTCACAAGTTTCCACATTTAGCTGAAACAATTTATCCTACTTGCCTCTGTGTCTTTTCAACCAAGAATTTAGGTGTTGGTAAGACCATGTTAATGGCTGTTTCATCTAAATTCACTATAAGCTCAGGTGTGAATTTATAGCGTAACATTACACGCTCAAAATTATCAAAAAATTCAGCCACTGCTGTCTTATTGAATGCAAAACTTCTTATGGCGCTTGTATTTTCAGGTTTTCTTAGGATGAGCTCCTGATTTCTCTTTCTGAATCTTATTGCTCAATCTTTTCGAGCGCGTTTATTTTTTTTTCAACGATCCTGAATATTTGCATTTTAAATATTCTGCGTACTCATAAGTTAATGTTAAAAGTTGCTGCAAGGATAACCCATAATGCATCTTGCTGCAAAGCAACGGATATTCTGAGAAGACTTTCTCTTGCAAGGCAGACGGACCCGAAATTGAACCGGTGTCCTCCCGACTGCCAAGCACTGGTCTAAACCTCTAGGCCACGCTGCTTCATGGTGATACCTCCTTGCTAGAGGTTTGACTATATATACTATTAGAAGATGGATCGATATCCGTATTGACGTGAAAGCAACCAATCAGCGACCGAAAACCATGAAACCTGACCATACATGGCGTTCACATTCCACAGAATTACCATAAGAAATAAACAAGCTCGATCGCAACTACCAAACTTATGAAATGTATTAGACAAACAAGCAACAGGACACAAAGAAGTACTACAAAGTAACGGAGTTTTTCGCAGGGAAGAAACGTTACAACGCAGAAGTTGTGAATTGCATCAATAATACAATGAAAGATTGTATGCACTAGTATTGCTTTAGGTCCTGTATAGGGAATTATTGCATGCACATATCAGATAAACGCCTGGTTGAAAATTAGAATAACTTTGTACCAAGTATTCAAGTATGATATAGTGTTACATAGTATCCATAAATTCATATTTGAGTCACTGGAACAAAATTGGTACATCTAAATTGTTTACCTAAAACTGCATACTGATTACTGATTAACTATAATTAAATTGTTGAGTAGTTATTACGAATTATATAATCCGCTTTCAATATTTGATAATAATATAAAAATCGTCGCTGTATAACATGGTGGAGTAGTTATATCTTGAATTAAACATATGAATTCGCTTAATTGTGAGAGTAGAGCCTAGGCATATCAAACATAGGTTGACCAGCATTTAGACAGGTTTGGTCCAATATTGTCACAAATCGAAAAACTGTGCTAACCAGCGCCAGCGTTTAACCAAGCCTGCGCCTAATTAAGGTTCAAATGTTGTATTGTAATAATTATTATTCACACTATTATTTGGAATCAATTTTTAATTTGAATACTGAATGTTTTTTAATCACTATTAATTCTTACAATAATGATTTCGTGAAGATAAAGCAGGTGCATAGAGTCTAGTGTCATATCACAAACAGGATCAAAATTAGGCAATAAAAATCTTGCAATTGTGTTTTTTACTTGAACGAAAATTTCGTACTACGCGACGCATAGCATCTATTTCTGGAAAGACTTGTTTCCGAGAAATAGTTCTACTCGCTGTCTCACGCCTCTCATAAGCAAAAAATGCTTCTGGATGTCGAGAATATTTAATAAAAGCTCATGCCGTATACAAAAAAATTTTGTTCGCTTATGTTGTGATATGTAAAAGGATTCCTTTTTCTGAGTACATTGGCCTCTTGTACTACATTCTGAAGATATTCAAAACTGAGTGAGGTTTTGCATCATCGCAATATCGATCAAATGGGTACCACAGGTTTATAAATATAATTCTTATGAAACACTTTTAATACTATAATTGTACTTTCATTATAGATATCAGAAAATACAACGCTTTTCTAACTAATCTTTGTATACCTATAAATATGCATAATGACTACTAGTTTGTCAACTATTGAGCTCACCTACAATGGTTTTCAATGTACAGTTCCTAAAAATTGGTGTGCCGTTTTTTAGTAACGATATATTTTCTTCTTCCCTCAATACTGTCAATAATTCCGTAATTAAATAGTGGTTGAGGCTTGACGTAATATTCATATGCCAAGTTTTAATATTTTAATAATATTGTGTAACAATAATTTACGTTTTGGAGTAATTTTTTTATTTTTATTATCATTGGTGGAATTGTAATTTTATTTTATCTAATATATCTTTATCCGTTTGTCGGTGTTATTATTTGAAATATGACCTTTTTTTTCATGAAGGTGAGTAGCCGGGCAGACACGGATATATTTTGTCTTATTTTGAGTCAGTTTTGTTTTGGCCAGGCCTGTGTGCAGTACTGTTTTGCAATTGCTTTAAGTGTACACTTCTATTCAGCACCTGTGTGGTGCAACTGCGTTGTTTTACCTGTGTGGTACTTTATGCATCTGTGTGGTGCAAGCCCCCGGCGCGCAAATCCCGTCCTCTCTGGGGATGTGGTTCCTCCGGAGCAGTGACATGTAGGTGAGGGGCCCTACATGCGCCCGGTTGACATGATTTGGTGTTCTCACACCAAATCATTGGGATGCTGACTACTAGCGCGGTAGTCGGGCGTCCAGGGGAGCCTCTACTCGTTTCAGGTGGAAATGTACATTTCTGAAGATTATGGTTTGTTATATATATCTGATATGGAAAGACGGGCTTTTTATTAAAGGTCTGCACGGGGGATGCAATTCCCCCGATGAGTTACCATTTACCCCCTTTTCTTTATGCAAAACAGTAACTTCGGTATTTGTTTCATGTTTTTTGCGATGTGTCTGCCTGCTATATGCCGTTTCGGACTGCTATGCGATGACCCGCGTAAGTTCAAGTGGTTTATTGAATTCGTAATTAATCCTAATTTTACAATTGTGCATTTGGTCCTAGTATGGACCAACAGTGAATTGCCAATGCTAGGCAACCCAATCTTGAACCACGCTTGGGTCTGTCGTTATGCCTTGCATTTCCTACTCACATGAGTCGTCACATGATAAATGTATTGGTCGTCGTGAAATCTCATTTATTTTTAAGTCAAGATGAATGTATTGGTTGTCAAGATATTTCATTCAATTTCTTGTATTTTACTTAAGCTAATTAAGTTATTGGTTTAGAAACAATATTTAATATTAAACAGAAATAACTGGCACTGCGAATATGTTCGGTAATGGCGCTTTTATGTTTATTCCAATGTGAAAAAGTACTGGAAACGTCACGAAAATTTGATTTTTATAACCTTCTGGTTCGAAAAAACTCTTGTGAAAATAGACTCCATCTTTAGAAGACTTATAAGCCTAGGTAAAGGAATGGTGATGCATGACACTGAAGTTCCTGAATGTATACCTTTTCACTAGAAGTCTTCTAAAGATGGAGTCTATTTTCACAAGGGTTTTTAACTGTTAATGTCTTTTTTCGAATTTAATTGTAACATTGAGAACAGCATTTTTAAGGTATTTTGTTTTCTCAAGTTTGTGGCTTTAAGGAAAGTATGGAATTTCTCGCTTTCTTCCTAAGCTTAAAATTATCTTAGAGGTTAAGATCAAAGCCACAGACATGTAAAAACCTTCTTCCAAAATAATGAAATTCAATCAAGATACTATTTTAAATTCAAGAACTTTTCGACGAAGGAAGAGTTCGTTCTATCGAAAACGTTTAAATAAAGGACTTTTGAAAAATTGATAGCAAATCGGTCCAATAAGGCCGAACAAACTGATTGCAAGTTGGTACATTGCTGTTTCGTGAATTGATAAAGATAAAGCCAATGCCTCTTTCATTGACTCCAGTGACGCGTCGCGATGCCCGTCGCCATCGTTGGCTACCACCTGTGCGCGCGCTGGTGCAGGCGTAAGTGCCCGAGGGAGGACGCAGGATTCGATCCTCAGTCTCCGCGCAGCGCTGGAGTAGCTTGCAAACGTCTATATAACGGTACGCGACGCTGACGAGCACATTTAGTGAACGCCACGACGCCGACGCCACTTGACGCGACCGACAACAATACATCGGACAACCTTCGTCTATTACTCGTATATTGTTCGGTTGATTGAACATTGAACGGGCACGGTTGATTTACTCCTGAAGTTTCTGATTGGAAACGTGCGTCAGGAATATACGAAGCTGCTGAAGTCAAATTTCGGTTTTCGGACTTAATTTATATATAATTTATGATAAAACAAAAACGTTTCCACAAGTGAATAATGTAAATTATTTGTAATTTATGGCATATGGCTTGAATTTTATTAAAAAAGAAAATATAATATTTTCTGCTCATGTCCAACGTAAAAATGGCACTTAAGCAACAAATATGACGTTGTAACTCATTTAAGTACAAAAGCTTCAAATTTTATGGTCATCCTACTTTTACAAGCTATCTTAACCGTGTTTCTTTATCGATGAGCTCATTTCCTCATTAAAGTTATTTAAGCCGTCAAATGTCCAATTAACTAACTGTTTCACGCATCCATAAGAGAATAGAGCAATTAAGAATGTGTCATCAAGACCTTAAAAAAAATCCTGCAAGGGCCATTACAACTTTCACTATTTCTTCAAGTAGAAATACCGTCAATGAGAAACCCAGTGTGGAAACAAGATTCTAAAGGGTACAAAAGCTCTAACAAAAAACTGATGTTAATTACAGACTTCTAAAGACATGCAACAAACTACAAAGAGAGTAAAGGGGAAAACTGAAACTAATTAAACATCGATTTCAAAATATGAAGAACTTTGTCATTTATCGAATAGAATTAGGTGTCGAAAAGTGCTATGACAAGAAGGGTAGGTGGAGACCGTAGACAACGTTGCCGAGAACGTTTGGATTTGCGTGGTGTTGGGCACGCAACAAGTCGCTCGGCGTGCGAATTGCCTGTAACACTTCTTCGACAGTTTCCGGCCAATGTGTCGCTATTAAAACTTCCAAGCATGGACTATGTGAGTTTCGGCTGCTGTTTGCTCGCCTTCATCCTTTACTACAATTCCCTCGATGGAGACTTTGTTTACGATGATCGGTAAGTTTTATGAATGTTGGACTTTTATAAAATCATTCGTTAACCTTATCGAATAAAATATTTCTTCCGTATTAACATTATTGAAGGATTTTACAAGGAACAAATCAGGTTTTCTTTTAAATCATTTCTAACTCATGCGGTGAAGTTAGTTAAGAATATAAACCAATGGTAATTTTATAATCGCCTTTTTAAACAAATTATAATTTACTGTGAAAAACCTTTACAGTAAATGAAAATTTGAAGAATAACATAAAAGATATCTTCTCAATAAAAACGAACATTCATTAATGGTTTTAACATTAGATCAATCTTACCTTCTATGAAAGAAAAACTAGTAGTCGTTATAATCGTGATATGACTCCTTCCATTTCAAATTTGGAATTCCGCACATTCTCTATTTAATGTGTCCTCAGTGGTAATTGTTAAGATTTGATTTCGTCCAAGTTAGCCGTCGGCGGAAAACAGTGAAATGTGTAGGTAAGAAAAATTCGATGGACCACGGTAAAAGTAGCTCACACCAAAAAGGTGTTAACAGCTAAGCCGTTTAAACCGTCCAAATTTAGTAAAATAGAATCTTAGGAATCTCAAATTTATTAGGTAGTAGGACAGTAAGTACCTACGTTTTAAAAATTATTAATGGTAGGCACTAATTACAAAAACAGGATAGACGAAGAAGGACAAAAATATATAAATTAGGAAGTGTAGGGTAGTTGAAGAGCAATGGATTGATTCATTTTAATCTATACATCGAAGACGCGACCAACATCATTAGAGATACTACAGCGGTAAGGATAGATATGCAGGGACAAATAATTAGTATGCTCAGATTTGCAGATGATATAGCAGTATTAGCAGCAGGCAAGGAGGAGTTAGAGATAGCTTTAAATAGAATGGAAGTGGAATTAACAAAACAGTATTGTATGAAGGTAAATAAAAGTAAAACAAAAATACTGGTATGTAAGGGAAGCAAAAGTAGGGAAAGAGCGAATATAAAGATAGAGGTATTTAGGAAGTCAGGTAAGTCAGGATGGAAGGAGCAGTAGAGATATAAAACAGAGAAAAGTGCAGGGTCTAGGCGCCTTCAACAAAAGGAAGTCATTTCCATGCTCGCGGACGGTTAATTTAGAAATTCGGAAAAGGTTGTTAAGAATGTATGTTTGGAGCGCGGCGATTTTGAAATGTGGTGTTACCGGCGAATGATGAGGATACTGTGGATAGAGAATGTTAGAAATTAAGGTATTAGAAGGAATAGGAGAAACGAGGACTCTAGAAAAGTTAATAAGAGGTATGCGAGATAGGTTGGCGGGGCATCTTCTCAGGCATGAAGAGCTAGTCAGAGACATGTTAGGGATATATGCAGGAGTTAAGAGGAGTAGAGGTAGACCTAGATTAGATTACTGTTTGCAAATAGTTAAGGATGTGGGATATTTCAGTTTTAGGAAAATGCGAAGATTAGTTCAGGATAGGAGAGAGTGGAGGTGCGTTTCCAACCAGTCTTAGGACTGACGACCTTATGATGATAATGAGGTAGTAATTTCTTTGGAATACAATTTCTATTTTTTTTTTATTCAACGATCGGAGCACACATTTACTATACAATTAATAGCAGAAATTACGAACTCTACAACAGGTATAAAACTATTTGTATTGAAGATACGAATAATAACGGCAATAATTTAGAAACTAAATTTGTCCAGATTCAAACTTGAATTTCTGAGTACCTAACGAATACATATGTATGTATTGTCATTGAGCCTTTTCAACTATCGTTGAATTATATACATTGCATTTCTAGAAACGTTTATTTGTTTTATTGTGAAATAGGAGGAGAATAGATACTTAGAGCGGCTTCGTTAAAAAAATACATAGTCTTGATTCCTTAGGCAAATTAATTTAAAAACCTACCTGTTGGACACTAGTGGGTTGCTAACCACAGTAATGAATTATGACTAGTTTTACAATCTTGCATCTGTCCCGATCAGAAAATTGATCTTGAACGACACTTTTTTGTCGTACCTATATTGTTTAGCATGTTCCACGGATTTGCCGTTATTTAGGACTTATGTCGCCTATTAAATAAACTTAGTTTTGTAACTTAAGGGTCCGTCGTCGAACAATAAAACGCACTGTTAGATTGGACGAGACTTCTAGATTGATCACCAGTATTCTAGAGGGAACTATCAAATATCTGATTGCGCTTGGAAACTATTCGATTTAAGACGTGTTGGGTTAGTATCGCAAAAATAAGGGGCCTCTAGCATGATCATCATTTCTGATTGCTATAGGTTTGTTTGTGTGTTCGTGTCGATACATTTACATTTTAAAACTTGAATTTCATCTGTTTCAAAAATGAGTAAAAGAGGAGAGAAAATAAAAAACTACGTAGTAAATTCACCCAATTTTAGTTACTTTCAGCTATTCAATATCTCTTGTAATATAAAAACATTATTTTCAGTACCTTTTTCGCATTTAGATTATGAATACACGACGCGTATACAAAAATGCTTATTTTTACACAGAAAGACACAAAAAATTGACAAGAAAAGCACTTTTACAAATTGAAGAAAGGTTCCTTATAATGTAAAAACTGGAAACCTGCTTCTTAAAGCCAAGATTACACACTAAGTTTTTTTTTATCCTTTCCTAGAAACTATATGCTTTACTTACTTCCTTATATTTGAAACTAAATTTATGAATACTATTTAATAGTAAGCATTGTTTAAGTTCATGTGTTCAAACCAAAACTCCTTGATCTGGTAATTTTCAAACATTTAAATTCATTTTACATTTATTCAAGTACTAGATTTTACCCGCGGCTTTGCTCGCGTTAATGTTTTAAAAATGTGTCAAAAATCACCGACGACTACATAAAACTAATTTTTGTATCCCTTGGAACACCATTTTTTCTTTTGGATAAAACGTACCCCATGTCCTCTTCTGTACCCCTAACAATACATCTACAAAATTTCATGATTACGAATAAAATATTAAAGAAATACGATTTGTCGAATGATTTGGCGCTCTCAGTAACTAGGATTCATGACATTCATCGGTTTTGTCATATTTGCTATTTGATCTCAAAGTTTTTTCCATGGAACTCAAATCTTATTTTATGAATAATTCGCAAACTTTTAACGGTATTGCCGTGATACTCTTTTCAATATATTCTATCAACCTTAAGCTTCTTTTTGATACCCCTACCATATTTAACTCACTAATTCGACCCTCATTTGTTTTTGCAGTGTCATATACTTATATAATTGCTAGATACTGTAAACTATAACCAGATTAGTCACTTTGACGTAGCATATGTATGGTGTTTTTGAAATAGTTGGTAAGCTTGCAGGAGGTGATGGGGTACTATAAAACAAGAAAATTAAGTAAACATTTGGCGGTCCGAAAGTCCACTGATTTCGGCTTTCAGGGTTGCCAGAAATGTTAAGTCAGAAATAGCGCACTCTGACTTTATTGTTATTTATGGTATCTTTTTATTGTACACAACCATTACAAATGTATCAGAATCAAATCAAATCTAATGATTTCAATAGTAATTATTCGTTCTCTTCCTCAATATTTTCTTTGGTATTTTCATAAGTACTAGAATTAAAATTAAGCATATCGTCACTTGATTCAAATTTGCTACAGCAAACTTTATCGTCTTCTAAATTCATCTTTATACGCAATATTGATGATAGGAGTGAAAGCTTCATGTGGTTACAAAGCTTAGTTTTAGTAGCAGTAACTCTTGAAAACACTCGCTCGACTGTAGGATTGCTAATAGTTAGACTGTATGCTGTTAGAGCTAGAGTAGCTAGCTCTAAAAAAATGAAATTACCTTCAGAATCTTTTAATTTTTATAGTTTTGCCCGAAAAATTTAGCCCTTAGTGATTGTACACTCATCACATTCAGATTTAAAATCAAAATTAATCAACACTCTACTGTGATACCATTTTATTGATATTTACAGATTCGTTTAATAAATGCAGTGGCAATTCCACAATAGCTGGACGGTTAGTTTTAGGAAAACTTTCGGCGAAAAAACTTGAATTCCGTGTGAGAAGCTCTTTACAAGCTCTAATTAAAAATGATTTGCAACTTAGTTTAACATTATTTTTTGTTATCTTGCAATTAATGTTTAATATATGTTTAAATCCATATTCTATTTTATTCACTGGCAATTAAATCGATTGAAAATCCAAATTTATTTTTAAGGAGACTGACGACGGATGTAATATTCTTCTTAATAAAGATAATGTAAAGCATCCAATTCATGTAAAATATTATAAGGATCTGCATGTTCTTTTCGGAATAATAAGTTTATAGGATTCAGCTCTGACAATATCGGTGATAAAAACGTGAAATACTATAAATTAGTCGGATCATTATACATTTGTTGAAGTTCTCTAGCAACATAATGATCTTGATGAGGTTCAGAGACAGCAAAATCAAAATGAATTTTTAAAGCATCCCATTGATTTAACATTCGTTCAACAGCTTGACCTCTAGCCAACCATCTTGTAGTAGAAATATGGACTAACTGTATTAGTGGATCACTTCCGTCATTTATTATGTTATAAATATCAAGATATTTTTTTCGCCGCAATGCTGATCTTTTAAACCAATTGAATATTTCACGTAACATATAATCAATATTAGAAGGAAGTTCCTCAGAAGCATGAGAGCATACAAGATGAGTCGAATGGTAAATACACTTAAAGAATAGAATTAAATCTTCTTTCTATATCTTCATTAATGTATATAAAGAGTTTTTGCAGCCACATAGATTTGATCCACCGTCAGTAGTAATGGCGAAACAATTATTGAGATCTAATCCTTTCTCGTCAATAAATTTTTTTAAATGTTCATATACATCTTGACTAGTTGTCTCAACGACAGGAACCAATCCTAAATATTGCGATACAATAAGTCCTTTTCTTGAATTGAAATATCTAATGCAAATGTAGAGATGCTTTGAGCAAGAAACATCCGTTAATTCATA